ACAACCTACAGATATATATATATATATATATATAAGTACATTAAAGTACAAGTATAAAGTACATTAAAGGGTTGGTTGATAGCTTTTGGTTCTGTTTTAAGTTTACAACCCTTCTGGGAATCATCTGCACCTAGATCTCTTTTTACGTCAGTGGGTCATTGTTTATGACTGCACATCAAAAGCTACATTGTCACTGAACAATTGCTGATGGTGCTGACGCTACATTTTAGCAAATGTAGCGAATCACCAATTGGACTGACTGCATTTGATGTGATTGACCAGTAGAATTCAGACATATGTAAATGAGAAAGCTTTGCCAGCATATTCATAACCTACAGGTACAGACGTACCTACTCTAAAAACCTGATCAGCATGCCCCTGGTTTGGAGAGGCAGACCCCTCTGGAAAAAAGCTGCTCAGTCCTATACTTTGTGTTTTTGTGACTGGTGCTTAAAACACCAGCTAAACCACACTTTAGCTATATGGCAGTATGAACTCTAGCTATAACCCAGTGTAAGTATTTAAAGGGTCTATCTTCCAGTATAGGGTTGGCTTTAGTACAGTTTTGTTCTTGTAACTACTCAACTCTTAAATTAAAACTAGATGTTTAGCTTGTAATTGGGTAGTTTTACTGTGTTGCTACTTGAAGTAAAGAATTTGGATCCTAATGTACAGTTTATGTAAACACATATACTGTCATGTGTTATCCATCCTGTGCAGACTTGCTGTACTACTATGTAAAGCAGAAACTTGGCAAGTGGTCTATTACCTTGCAGGAAACATTGTTTCCTAAGACTTTGGAATAACTATTGTCTCCAGATATGCCAGCAACTCCACACTGTTATTGGCTGGGCAGTGAAGCAAACCTGTCAAAAGTGTGTTTGTAGTTGTGTTTATGTGTTTTGTGTGGATCCATCAATGAATATAATCCAAGAACTGCACAATTTCCCAATGAATTGATTTCACTTGCCAGTTGCAGATGCCAGATACTTGAAAAGAAACTAGATTTATCATAGGTTCTGGTAAAGGACGGTGACGCAATGTGATGTGAAAAGATTCATGTGATTCCACCCATGATGATAATAAGCCCCCCGTCCCTGATGATCTTGATAAGTATCTGTTTACCGGGATACAGTTGCATGCTGTGATCTAATGTCATGTTGTTTTGTTTCTGCCTTTCAGGTTAAAGAATGAAGGGACAGAAAAGAAAGAAAAGTGAGTACAGCGCTCTTTCTGCATGGAGATTGTGATTTGGGTGGAAAACAATAGGGACTTGAGATTTGATCTTTTCCGGTTTTGCCTTGCCAACAAACAATCATTTGTCTGCAACTCTCAGCCTTCCTAACTAGTCCCCTACCCTACTATAGTCCCTTCTGAACATAAATGATGTGCCTGTTATTTTCCCACTCCCACTTCCTCCTTGTTTCTTTCTTTAATATAAAAAAAGAAACACAAAAACGCAGATAGAGAAGCCAAAAACAATAACATGTCATCAAAACCTCAGTGAACAAGCAACATGAGATCGACCTATAGTGAGCACAAATTAACATGCTGCTGTCAGATAATAAACATTGGGAATACCAGCTAATCCCGCTCAGGTCAATGAGTGACACTTGATGAGTTCATTGCACTTGCAAACCTGTCCTTTACACCTTTCCCACCTTTTCTATCTCATCTGCATTCCTCTCCCTCGTCTTTGCTGTGTAGATGCCTCTTGACTTCTGCAACTCTGGTTTCTGACTCCTCTGATATAGATAACAGTGTTTTTGAAGATCTGTTAAACTTTTGTGTTTATAGTCCTATCTTAAGAGGGCCTCCCTTCGAATACTACAGAAGTCAGTGTGCTAAGGGTCATTAAACTCTTTAATCCTCTTTCTGTGAGTAGCCGTTGATATTTTTCCATTGTGGGGTTGTTGTTTTGGTTTTATGTCAGGTCGTCTGTCATATAGATAAGGGGTAGCTGCGTGATTTTCTTGAACTTTGCTTTAACTGTTTTTTCGAGTGTGGCTTTGGTGGCGTGTTATTTTAGGGTAACAGTTCATGTTCTTGTTTCTGATATTTTGATTCATGTTGGCTAACCTCTCTAAGGCAAGAGTCTCAGAGTCTGTTAGGATGACTCGTTATGTTGAGGTTGTGAAATTAGTTAATTATCAACGTCTCTGCGGAAATTGCGTGGATTTTACATTTGCTTCATTCTGTTACACAGACCTAGATGCTGTATTTATCAATCAGTCCTAAATGGGGCTTAGTTAGCCCCATTTATGACATGCAGTCTGTGATCCAGATACATCCCTGAATCAAAATGTTATTTTTAGCCATGCTCACAGTGTGGCTCTAGTGATAGCAATGACAGATTCTTTTCAGTTTGCCAGTCCAGCCGCAGTTTTCCCTGAACTAAAAATTCTCTACAATTATTAGCGCGTTTTGTACAAGAAAACAGTGATCGTTTCAATATTAATCTATTACATTCATGTTTAGGTGGGAAAAAACAACTAGTGGGTGGACAGTCTTGAATGTTGCACACATCCATTGAGTGGTGATGGTCTGCAGAAAATAATTTGATCCCTTCCAATCATTCATAAAGCGCCATCAATATCACCCGCTTTGGATTATGAATACGTATTTGTAAAACTAACAACATACCACCACCAGCCGCGGCTGGGCATCGTGCTAATTGGCAAATGTTATCATGCTAATACACTAAACCAAGGCTAATAGCCTTTTACTTAGCTACACATCAACATGTTAGCATTGTCATTGTGAGCAAGTTACCATGCTGATGTTGAATTTAGCTCAAAGCACTGCTGTGCTAAAGTTAAACCTAAATGTGCTGCTAGCATGGCTGCAGCCTTCCTTCCCAGTCATTTTCATAAAATGAAATTTGGTTTGCCCATCAATAAGGTAGCTAGGTGTCAAGTGCAGAGTGGACACACGTAGAAAGAGACGTGTAAAATAAGGAAAGATTCAGCCAAATGAGAATCCAATTCTAATAATAGTCTAAAAATCTAAAATTATTTGACAGACTGCACTACCAACAGCAGCAAAACCTTCAAGAAAAACATCTCTCATACTAAAAAGAGGGCAACTTTATTTTTAAGGTCACCCACTGAACATAAGTTAAAAAAAGCACCTATGTGACTTAATAATGGAGTAACATCAGGTTATGTGCTTTGATATGACCTGAGGTCACAGGACTATACAGCTCTGTGAAAAATGAAGTTTTCACAGGACTTTATACGGTCCTGTGAAAAACTAAGTACACCCTTTTTGCTTCCACAATGATTAAAAGAGTAAATAGCAGCCAAGCGCTGATAATGAAATGTACTTGGTTAATTGATAATCATTTAATCGAGTACATTTGCTGATTATCAATTAATTGATAATCGATTAATTAATATCTCTTTAAAAGTAAAGTTTTGGCAGTTTTCTGGTCTGGAACATTCAGCTGTGTGTTAACACAATGCCACAATCTTCCCAGGAGTGGACGTCCGAGTCAGCTCAACCCAAGGTCTGACCCTGCAATGCTCAGAGAAACTACAGACTCTACAGGCCTCAGTTAGCATGTTAAATGTATGGCTTGTTTGGAAGGCTGCCAGGAAAAAGCATCTTCACTCTAAAAAGACAATGGCAGCACGGCTTAGGTCTGCAAAGTTGCATCTGAACAAACCACAAGACTTCTGGAACGATGTCCTTTGGACAGATGAGACCAAAGTGGAGACGTTTGGCCATAATGCACAGCACCACATTTGGGGAAAACAAGCACAACATATCGGCAAAAACATCTTATATCGACTATCAGCCACAGTGGTAGAGGGATGATAATTTGGGTTTGTTTTCTAGCCAAAGGACCTGGGCACCTTGCAGTCATTGAGTCGGCCATGAACACCTCTATATACCAAAGTGTTCTAGAGACCGTGTGAGGCCATCTGTCCGACAATCAAAGCTTGGTCCTAACTGGGTCATACAACAAGGACAAATCTCCAACAGAATGGCTTTAAAAGGAAAGGTGCTGCAATGGCCTAGTCAGACCTCAACCTGATCGAAATCCTGTGGAGGGGCATTGGAGCTGTGCATAGATGAATTCCCGCAAACATGGATGAACTGGAGAATCGCTGTGAAGAAAAGTGGACCAAAATTTCTCCAGAACGATGTGAGAGACTGAAAGTCTTACAGAAAATAACTGCTTTAAGATATTGCTGCTAAAAATTGTTCGACAAGCTCTTGTATCATGGGGTGCACTTAGTTTTTACCAGGACTACATAGAGTCCTGTTAAAACTTTCTTTTTCATATCACTGTGAGTCTGACACTGCAGTTGTATCACGTCTTCTTTGCATGATAAAATTGCAACGCTTCTATTTATTTCTTATTCCTCCTAATATTTATAATATTTTATATTTTTTTCTTACTTAGAAAGTAGAATTAATGTACTGTATATATGCTAGCCATAAATATCAATAGATACTTGTAATCATGATTTTTGCTGTTACGTTTAACTAACAAAAGTTTCCAGCATAGTTAAATATACCTTATGCAGCGGAATTACATCTGACTCAGCTCGTTATAAATAATGCATATGAAATCCAGCCTATACACCAGCTGCATGCTTTGTAAGCACGCACTGGCCTGTTCTAATTGTGGTTCAGTTTGTAACAAGTTGAGTCAGTGATAAAGAGTTGGCCCAGATAGACTAAAAGATGGTTTTGGCAAAGTCCAATTTTTTTTATTCAGATCATCTGGGAAATTTCCACCCACCATAACCTTCAAAGTACAATATGCTTTCACTCTCTGCAGAGTCATTGTACTTATTATTTAAACATATATACATATCTTTTGAGCCCAGTTTTGAGCAGTGAAGGAATTTAGTCTCGGAATATGCGATATTAATCATATTCACACAGTGAGCTGCTTTTACTCTGGCTGTTTTTTGAGAAAGAGGATATAAGTTGTTGTCTTGCTTTCTAAAATCGTTATTTGTAGGTCATTTAACTCATGATGGAGTTACTTTCTCACTACGCTCATTCATTTCACATCATATCTCATCGTATTAATTGGGTCCAGAGAGCCTTGTGTGAAGTTAGAATCCCATATAAGCCAATCAGTAACAAAAATGAAAACTCTTAGCTAATAAAATGATATACATATTTTTTTAAAAACCAAAAACATTGCGATCAATTGATGTGGGCTTAAGCAATTATCATTCAGAGATTTAAGCACGTCACTCTCATCAGTCTCTCAGGCATCTCTCTGCCTTGTTCTCCTGTCTCTCTTGCAGAAAATCCCGGACAGGCAGGAATAAAGGCCAAAAGAGAAAACGAAAGAAAAACCCTGAAAAAACAATTCATGATGCGTATGTCAGCTCTGCCTTCTCCACCTACCTGCACCTGAGTGTTGCGCTTCTTATAATTAAGCTAATCTGGGAGGAGTTATTTTGCCCCTTTTAATTTGTACCATTTAATTTGCTTATCGGCCCTATCGATTAGCATGTTGCTTCCGTGTGGTGTCCTAACTTTGTCTCGTCAGCCATGTCCTAAATATTCCGAATCTTAGACTGTATATAAAAGACATACACAGTTTTTAGGTTTGAGCAACTTCCACTGTGGAAGTTTTTCAAACCTGTATTCTTTCTGCTGGCCAGCAGGGGAATTTTTAGCTATCCAGCTTCTTAGTCAGATCCGTTCCTCGCTCGTTTGAACGCACCGCGATGGCAAAAAAAGAAGTCTTTGCTAACGAGTGGGTAATTCATATTGTCTGTGTCCACCTTTTATCTACAGTCTATGTTCAGGATATTAGACTATGCCCTGTTTGCCGATGTGTTTTGCGAAGGTAGCTTCAGTTAAATTTTGAGTGATAACTAGGGGGTACTTCAGACCACATACCAACTTGCAAGGAATAAACATTAACTTCAAAATCTCCAACTAATCTCCTCGTAATATAACCGAGGCAATGGTTGACTGATGTTTGAGACGAGATACAGCATTGTATCATAAAACCGACAAAAACCTGGGGTTCAAATTGGCTGTGACTTCTTGTCAGATAGCTCTTTTTATTATTGATAATGTCCACGTTTAAAGGAGTTCGAATAAACAGATCTTAGATCAGCTGCTAGCTGTAACATGAACCTCCTGTCTACTGAAACTGATCTCAGATCCACCAGCATGGCTTTGCCAACCGGCTCATACTGTTCTGGTATCTGTGCTGGGATCACCAGTGTTGTAATCATAGTCCCGTCTTCAGTGTTGAGTCTGTGCTGCTTTGCTGTGTCTCGTACCCGTCTCCTTTCCCCACTTTGTTCTTTTCATCTTTACAAACAGTTTTTTGTTTGTTTTTTTTGCTGTCCTGTGCTGGTACTTTTCATGTTATGTGAAGATATGAGTGATGCTATCTATTGCTTTTTTTCAGCAAATTGTTTAGCAAGGTCTGTTTTTTTTTTTATTTCTTTGTTTGCCTGCTTTTGTGTCTGAAACCATAAAAAAACTAATATTTTTATTCAAAAGTAATATAACGAGATCATGTTTCTTCAGTGTTCATACTGTGAAGAGATTCCTGTCTGTATTTTCACTTGTAATTTGTATATTAAGATGTCAATGAAGTATCTGGGGCTTCACACCTGCTGAGAATTGTAATTCAGATGACTTTCAGCCTTTGTTTTGATTTCATGTCTCTCTGTGGGAAACCTAGTCCTCAGCTTTCCTTCAATAAAATGAAATCTTTCCTAACAGTGCATCAAACAGACCCTCGAGTCTTCTTTATCACGAGTTTAGAGTGAGAGTGAGAAGTGCGCTGTCACTGACCCGCACTTTAAAGCCATATGTTGCTTTGTGATGCATGAACTGGTCTCGAGCTTCGCTAACTGCATGTCTAACACATATCGTTCATTCAGGAGAGGTCGAATCAGCCAGGCAAGGATGGGGGTGGGGGGCAGGTTTATTTCTACTGCTTGACTTTCTGCCTGCTCTGAGGGATCCTGTGAGCAATACTATACAACTGTCACATGCAGCACAACTTGGCAGTGGCTCGGAGAAGCAAACTGGAGCATATGAAAGGGTTGACCCAAGGGCGACCTTTCTTATGGGTGATAACGGTGCACTGTGATAATCTGCCTCTCCTTCTTCCTCCCCATCTCTTTGTCTTGTCTGTCCAGTGTTTGTGAGCCGTGTTCAGAGAGGAGAAAGCGTTTGTTTGTACAGGACCCTGCAACCTGCCGGTGCTCCTGCAAACACACAGACGAATACTGTAAAGAACGCCAGCTAGAGCTCAACGAGAGGACCTGCAAGTAAGTAACATCGGCAAAGTGGTTCACCCATTTGTTGGACTAAACGGAAAACCTGTGTGGAATTTATAGTAATGCAACCAACTTAAGATCCAAATATAGTTCGGTCAGATGACATCGGTAGCAAACATGCTCTAGTCACAACATCCCTGTTAGACTCCACTATGGAGGCTTTTGCAGGTTCTCTTCATATTCAGTCGCATGACTACTATAGCTTCTAGTACAACTATAAACTACTGTAATCTAATGTACTAGCACTGGAACATGGTTTGCATACAAGTTGTATGCTGTTTCTTGTAGTCTTACAGTCTTTTAAATGCAAAAACAGTACATAAAATCATAGACTGCATTTATAGCAACTGAGATGCCAGTAACCGGTTTTGGTGCTACCAATTTGAAGGTTCAAGTGAGGAATTTTGGGTCATTTGAGGAACTGCAGTTTCTGGATAAATATATGTTGAACTGGCAAAGTCTGCAGAAATTTGTTTCAGTGCCCTTTTCATTGTTTTCAACTATGATTATTTCAAAAAGCTGCATCCCTGCTTGCCCAGGACCAAGCGGCAAAGTGACTTAATTATTAATTCAGTAGCTGGGACCACACCCTTATGTAGATGTGACAGCATATGGGGTTTGGGGTAGGCCTACTGGGCCAGACAGATCCCCGTGTAGTACTGAGAGGTGAATGAATCGGAACAGCTTGTAGGGCATAGATGGAGAACCGGAAGGGGAGTTTATGAGATAAGTTATCTCCAAATAAATGCCACCTTGCCTGCATTTGTGTGAGCAAGACAAAAGAATTAAAAATAGGCTGATTTTAATGTTCCCTATAAACGTTTATTGCGCTTACGATCATTTCTCTTTCTTCTTGTTTAGATGTGACAAGCCAAGAAGATGAGAGAAGTGGGGGCACCAGATGTACAAGATGAAGGAATATATTAGAGATACTTCACAGCACGCACTTTTTGACCTTTGAACCGTAAGCTCTTCTTTTCTGTGGAAAGCATTCCCCATGGACCGAAACAGAACAAAAAGAAGGACTGAACTGAAATTTCCTCCCACTGTATATCTGTGTGTACATAGACCACATTTAAAGAGAGAAAAAAAAAGAATATACAGAATTGTTGCTGCTACTGTAATAACTAAGCCCATGATTCGTCTAAAAGCAAAATAGGAGCTATGTGGTTTTGCATTTCTAACAGGCTTGCAGTGCAGGTGTAGTCTTATCGTCAGATCATTGTGTACAATTACTCCACTGGATACGAGTCTACTGTGGTTGTGTTTCAATCATAACATGCGAAACCTCTCAATCTAATATATATTTAACTGCTAAAACAGCAGGCAAGACTGAAGAGGATGTGGGTGTCTTTTTTTTTCTTTTTTTTTAAGCGATGGATGGACCTTTCTCAGACGACGTTTTGCCTTTTTTCTCCTCGTGATACCACTTCCTTCCCTCTGAAGACTGTGCAGCACTGACCTGTGCTTACATGGGTCACGTCTGTGATCAGAGGAGACTCTGAAGTGCCATATACTTTTAAAGGGATACTGGTCATCGATATAGAGTTTGTATGTATTGCTATGTCCTACAAGAAAACCACTGTATGATTGATTCCATTTGAAAACTGTGCCTCACGAAAGAGTACTGCTTTTTAAATTATTTTTGTCTGCATTGTTTCAGGAGTCTGTCAGCTGTCGACGTAGTTTTCTTCGATGTTGAACTCAATACAGAATCCAGTGATTATACAGTTTCTCTAAACCTGTACATACTTAATATCCCTTTACGCCATAGTTCATTCTAGATAATTTATGTTATAGAGTATTTTTCAGTATTCAGTCTACCCATATTTAATTTGGTCTATTTATGTATGCAGTGTTATGTACCTGTGGCTGTCCTATCTCCCCATGTGTAAGGTCACTGATGGCTACTCTCGTTTCTACGAAACAAAATAAGCAACAACAAAAAAATCATAAATGATTTTAACATTCCCTAAATTGATCATTTGTACTGATAACACCTCCTCCTTTTCAACCCGTCTCATCTAAGGGCAATTTCAACTTGTGTGTGTGTGTAAGAGTTAATGTCTATATGAGTGATTGAATGGGATACATCTGTGTGAAGTAAGTATTTAAGTATTTAAGTAAGTAGTGGACGTGTGTTTTGTACACGGCCCGAGATGCAAATATAAAAAAACTACTGCTCGCAGCTCAGTATACAATACTACAACACTACCACCGTTTTCAAATCTGGATAACAATCTGCATCTTTCTGCCATCAGTCTTAGAGCCCTAATTATTAGATCCCTTTGTCTCTTCCTCACTATTAACATGTTTTCTTTGTCTGTGTAAACAGTAAAGCATATTTATTTTCAAATCATATTGTTTTATAAAAAATAAGAAAAAGGTTGCTGTGTTGTGAATGCTGTGTTTTTCGGAAATTTAATTGGGCAGCGGTGTTCTTCTGTTTTTGTGCGGCAAAGTGACATTCGCACATCTAATAATAATGAAAGGAAGCCGAAGAGACGAATAAGAAACTCCTGCACATAAATATATATATTTTTTATGAGAGACCGATATTCAGTTCAATGAATAAAATGCCACCTTAAAGCACCATGCAATATCTTCATTTGTTAAATCTGAGTATAGACGGCTGCAGTGGGGAAGTAATTATTCAATTCACTGCTGAATTTGTAAGTTGTGCTCACTTCCAAGGAAATGAGCTGTCTCTAATATTTAATGGTAGAGAGAGACAAAAATCGTCCAAAATTTCAGAAAAAAAACATTATAAAAGTTGTAAAATTGATTTGCAAAAAAAAAAAAGTTTCTTGTAGTTGGTCACCAGGTTTGTACATGTCTAAGGAGGGATGTTGGCCCACTCCTCTTTACAGAAACTCTCTAAACTCTAAGCTTCAGCTCCCACCACAACTTTTTCTGGCTGGGCCACTCCACAACTTTAATGTGCTTCTTCTTGGCCACTTTTTTGTTTTGTTTTTTTATTGTTTTGCTGGAAGACGCTTCCAGAACCATCTTTAGTGTTCTAGCTAAAGGAACGAGGTTCTTGTCCAATAATTTATGGTCCATTGTCCCACTCCGGGTCAGGGACGAGACCCTGCCCCAAGTGGAGGAGTTTAAGTATCTCGGGGTCTTGTTCACGAGTGATGGGAGAAGGGAGCGGGAGATCGACAGACGGATTGGTGCCAGTACAGCGTCCGCACCACTGCAGCCGCTGTACCGGTCTGTTGTGGTGAAGAGAGAGCTGAGCGTAAAAGTGAAGCTCTCAATTTACCAGTCGATCTACACCCCTACCCTCACCTATGGTCACGAGCTGTGGGTAGTGACTGAAAGAACGAGATCGCGGATACAAGCAGCAGAAATGGGTTTCTTCCAAAAGGTGGCTGGCCTCCCCCTTAGAGATAGGGTGAGAAGTTCGGCCATTCGGGAGGTGCTAAGTGTAGAGCTGCTGCTCCTCCACATCGACAGGTGCCAGTTGAGGTGGTTCAGGCATCTGACGAGGATGCCTCCTGGGCGAGGTTTTCTGAGCATGTCCCACCGGGAGGAAGCCCAGGACACGCTAGAGAGATTATATCTCTCGGCTGGCCTGGGAACGCCTTAGTGTTCCCCCGGATAAGCTGGAGGAGGTGGCTGGGGAGAGGGAGGTCTGGGCTTCTCTGCTTGGGCTTCTGCCCCCGCGACCCGGCCCTGGTTAAGCGGAAGAAAATGGATGGATGGCCCCTCAATGCAGTAAAATTGTCCTGTAGCCTTAGCAGAAAAACAGCCCAAAGCATAATGTTTCCACCTCCGTGTTTGACAGCGGGGATGGTGTTCTTTGGGTCGTACTCTGCATTTCTGACACGACAGGTCATTGATGCCAAAGAGCTGCATTTATGTTTCACCTGACCACACATCAGACACGGCTTTCTCCCAAGCCGTGTCTGAATCTCTGATTAAAGAGATTACAGAGACCAAATACTTATCTCACTCAGTGACATGCAAGTCAGTGTGAGAGTTTTAGTTTTTCTGGGGTTTTGGTTGATATTCTGTCTCTTTACATTAAAAATGAAACTACCATAAAAATTGCAGACTGTTCATTTCTTTTGAAGTGAGCAAACGTACAAATTCTGCAGGACATCAAATAATTCATTCCTCCAACTGTCTATCAGAGCGCAGAAGAGAACGACACCTAATTTGTGTTGATTTGTGTGATTAACAGTAAAGGCAAGATAAATGTGTTTTTTTGTGCAGGTCATGGTGACACAAATCTGGGATACATTATACTCACTCTGCAATAGTTGGTGTGATCAAAGGTACATACCTTATTTAAATTTAGCCACTGTCCCACTCAAGATTGTCTGTTGGTGCACCACTGGTCCATTTTAAGCTCTGCTGTTATTTTTAAATCACTCCACGGAAGTCTGCTCTGGCTGCTTGCACTCACACACCTGCGGATGTGCGCTGGATTTCCTCCAGCATGTCGAAACAGTGACCTCGTACTTGAATTTCAATTAGGAGAAAATTTCACTATAATGAGTTATAGTGAAATGAATCATGTGAGTAGAGCAGGTAGGGACCAAAATCTGCTGACTGCCAGCATACAACAGAAGAGCGGAACGTGTCCACAGTTCAATTCGTTGCACCAAATATCCCCTTCTCAAAAGCCGACCCCCCGTTTAGCTTTTAGGTCATAGTCAGATACTGGGCTGTCATCCCTAACATGAAGGTCAGATGACATCAGGTTTATGTTCACTATCTGCACAAGCTGGAGGTGCATGCAAATGCACACTTGCAAGTTTAAAAAGGGCCACCTAAAAATAGCAACCACGCTTGAAGCGATCCAGAGGTTCAGCCTGGCCGAACTTAAATCAGATCTGATTTTTACTTTTATTTTACTGTTTTACAGGCGTAGTCATGGAGCGCATTGATTGCTTCGCATTCATTTCACTACATCAACATTTGGACTGCTGAATAAAGCCGCCAATCACTGTATTGATGGGGGAGATGTGCTGACGCAGTGGGCTTTATGGTTGCTGTATAATGATTGTTGCCATAATCACTTTCAAGTTAGCGTGTAAAATCCTTCCTAATCATTTTTTATTATACCATGTAGTGCTTTGGCATCTGATAAACCTTTAAACGCATGAATCTATTACGTAAATCAGCCTTCCTGGATCATATTTCGTTGATTTGAAGAAACACTGCATCCCTTCTGCTCAGCTCTCTGCAACTGTTAGGCATTAACAAACAAATCCTCAATGACGACAGGGAATACTTCCAAAACAAGGAGTCAATCATTATCTGACTGTGTCTTTATATTGGGGGGAGGGGGGTGCAGGTGAGCTTTCAGCTACACAGATATCTACTTGAGTCAACATCACTGGCTGCCACTTGTTAAATTGAACGGAATAAAGATTCTTGTTTACCTGCATCATCGATCTACCTTTTCATTGGCCCCACAGTCCCCACAGCAACTTTTCTTGGAAAGACCTTTTTAGGAACTCAAAAACATTACCTAGAAATAAAGTCCTAGGAACTGATTTCCTTTTTTTTTGGCTCATGGTCTACAGTTCCCGTTTACCCCTGTAGACCCTTTTTCCCCCATTCTGCCTTTTAATTTGAACTTTTGGATTTTGACACTTTATGCATGTGTTTTACAGCAAACCTGATATCTGCAGTTTCCAAATAAAAGTAGGCTGTCTATTTTTGCTCAGCTTCTCCAAATAACCATTTTGCCTCACTTTTTACCCAAAAGGGGGGACAATGAGCAGGTTTAGCTGTAAGAGCATGTATTAGTCAGTGACCCTTCAGCAGCAGCTGATGTCTAGGACCAAATCTAACCCCTATGAATGTAGATTAAGTGGCAGTTTTTGGCTCTTTGGACGTGTTTGTTTTAAAACTCTGTTCCACTTAGCCCCATTGCTTGCTGCTTGCTGGATTAGCTCCTGCATGGTGCTAATGCAGCCATGCAAAAGCTCTGCTCTCCCTGGCTCATGCTCTTTGCATACCTAGATATAAAGCACACCATATAATCCCTGTAAATTGTGGGCCCCCCTTCACTGGGTAAAACTCCTACAAGAATGCCATAAACCATCTAATCTGTGACTTAACATGAGCCCAGAAAGAAGCAAGCAAGTTAGCTGCCTGTCCAGACTGTCCAGATGATTTAAACTTTTTCAGATTTTTATATGTTTCATAAAAAGACTCAGAGGGGAATTTGTTGTTTATAAGTATGATCTCACCAACAAATGGATAATATACAGCACTGTCCAAAAAAAGTCACCTCTCATTTCTTTATATTTTGCAAGAAAAGTGGGGAAAAGATGTAGTGATTTATTGAAACAAAGATGTAAACACAGTATACAAGGCAAAAGAGTTTGTGCAATTCTAACAAGCTTGAATGTCATTAGTCATTGAATAATTCTCCAGGCTTCTTGGGGGACATGCAACAAGCTGTTCTTTGGATGTTGGCTGCCTTCATTCTGTTCTCTGTTGAGATAATCCCACGCTGCTTCAATAGTGTTGAAGTCTGGGCTCTGGGGAGGCCAATCCATGACTAATAGTGTTTACTCCATGAGCAACGTATTTGCAATCATGAGTCCTTGCCAATCAGATGTTTTCCAGATGGTGGATCAAAATCTGAAGATGCTTTTCTGCATTCATAATTCCATCAGTTCTGACAAGATCTCCAACACCATTGACTGAAAAACAGCCTCAAACAACTACAAAGCCTTGTACTCACTGTTGTACTTCTCCTCCAATCTGCTCCATACATATTGATGACAAATGATGTTGCCACTTATTCTCTTTCCAGTTCTTGTGTAGTTTGGTATATCTCATCCTTTTCTCCCTGTTTCCCTTAGGGATGGCTTCTTGACAGCCACCCTTCCGCAGATGCGATTTCTGATGAGGCTTCAGTGAACAGCAGATGGATCGACTGAAGGGCCAGATGCATCTCTCAGGTCCAGTGTCAGGTCTTTGCTAGATTTTTTTTTCTATTTCTGCTGTTTAAAAATCAACTTGTTGGAACAAAGGTACCATTTATGCCTGCCAAGCTGTTATATTTAGCATTTTTCCTACATTCAGGTTTTACAACAGGCTGCTGGTAACAAAGTGCATAAAAAACTATTTAAAATTGGTTCTGTTGTGGGTAAACGCAACACATTTTCATTTTCTTTTTCTTATTGAATGACTCACAGGTCAGTCTTAAAGTGGCTTAACAAACAAGAAACATTCCTATACAGTATGGACAGAATTCAATAAAATTATTGGTCCTGATAATTGGTTCTGATTACTCTAACCACACCAAAAAGCAACAGGCAGGTAAACTGAAAGCAAAGAAAAGGTGTGTAAAAGCAGCCGACGTGTGTGTACGTGTGTGTGTGGTTGGAAAACAGGCAAATCAAACTTTCGTTTCACGTTTCCCCAAAAAGGAAGATAAGTAAATCTGAATGGGGAACTTTATCTGTAAGGAGTGTTTGTGAAAACAGTTGAATCTATCGATATCACATCATATACTGATGATGCAATCGGATCACACCATTGCAGAATGAAAGAAAAATATCACACTCAACGGAAGACTGCTCTGGTGCTCCTTTTATTTACTTATAACTGGTGCAACATGTCATGATCGGCATG